CTAGCTCTTGCTTGACAGACACTTCTTATATTAAGGAAAGATTTCTTTATTCTTATATTTTCTAGTGTTTTAACAGGAATTGGTGCTGTATCTTCTCAAATGCTTCTTCTATATCTATTGATATAAGAATGTGATTTTTGTTGTTCTTGTTTTTAATCAGGTCAACTATTAGTTTTCTAAATAATGAATCAGTACTATGTTCCTGGTAAAAATCCAACCTGGTCATAATTTATAGTCCTTTTGTGATAGGTTTTTATAGTCTCCTTCATAATATTTTATTTAAATATGTTTCATTAATTATTACTGGGGAAATTGATCTATAGTTTTCTTTCTCTATTTTAATTCTTCCTGGTATAGGTACCAATACTATATTTGTATCCTATTAGTTATTTGTTAGGAACTCTTCTTTCTCTATTTTTCAACACTTTGCATAGTATTATAATTAATTTTTAAGAAATGTTTGGTAGAATTCATTTGTAAATCCATCTGGTCCTGGATTCTTTTGCTTTTGGAGTACATGGTTTGTTCAATTTCTTTTTCTAAGACTAGGTTGGTTATTTAAATCTTCTACGTTCTGTTTAATTAATCTGGACATTTAATATTTTGTGTATGTTGACCCAATTAATTTAGATTTTAATTATTACTGGTACAAAAATGGTGAAATTAGTTCCTAATAATTTCTATTTCTTTTTCATTGGTTCTGAATTTACCCTTTTCATTTTTGATACTGCAAATTTGGTTTTCTTTGTTAAAGCATCTGTTTATCTGATTTTTAAAAACCAGCTCCTAAATTTATTGATTCAGTTTTTTTCTTTCAACTTTCAATCTCTTCTTTGATTTTTCAAGATTTCTATTCTGATGTTTAATGGTAGTTTTAAATTTATTAGTTTTCTGTGTTTTTTTAATTACATAATTAATTCACTGACTGACTGGTTATCTTGATTAAACTGTTCAGATATAGAAATTTCTCCTAAGGACTGCTTCTGCTGCATCCCAAATATTTTAGTTATATGTCACATTGCTGTCATTATTTTAAAAAAAATTACTGATGTTCCTATTTTTTTTGATCTGCTGATCTTTAAGTTATTTAGTCTCCAATTAATTTTAATTGTTTCTTCAGCAATCTTTTAATGAATATAGTTTAAATGCATTATGCTTTAAAACATAAGCCGTTAGAATTTCTACTTTTCTGCATTTGTTTATGAGGTTTTTATGCCCTTATACATGATCAATTTGTTTGTAAAGGTGTGATGCATAGCTGAGAAATGTGTATTCTTTTCTATTTCTATTTAATAATCTCCAGGTTTATCATAGCTAACTTTCCTAAAATTCTATTTAGAATCTTCAGATCTGTTTTTCTTTGGACTTAAGTCTGAGAGGGGTAAATTGTGGTCCTGCAGTATTAGTTTTACTATCTATTTCTCTCTATAATTCATTTAACATTTCCTTCAAGTATTTAGATTACTAAGCTATTTCATACATACATATTTAGTATTAATATTAATTCAATGTCTATGGTATCTTCTAGCAAAATGAAATTTTATCTTTTTTAATTGAGTCTACTTCTGCTGTTGCTTTGTCCAAGATCATGATTACTACTGTCTTTTTTTTTCCTACAGCTAAAGCATAACAGATTTGTGCTCTATTTTCTTATTTGAACTTTGAATCTTTCTATTTCAAGTGCCTTTCTTGTAAACAACATGCTTTCTCTTCCTTTTCTCTCCCCTACCCACAATGTATTCCACTCACCCTGTCTTTCCTTTCTTCTTTTAAAATCATCATAACAGAACAGAACTAATGCCAGGGCCTCTGTCAAATTAGACTCTTTTTGACCCTGATGATATGTGTATCATCTGCCTAAATTAGAATGTAAGCAGTTTTTCCTTGTTTATTGCCTTATGAATAGTTTCTTCTCTTTAGTGTTTTAAGTTTCTCTTGACTTCTAAGTTTACATTTCAAAGTTTCTACTCAGCTCTAGAATCTTTTCATCAGGAATGCTTGAAAATCCTGTATTCCATTAGGCTCCATCCTTTTCCTTGTATGATGATACTCAGTATTGCTGGAGAAATTATTCTTTGTTTTAAGCCTATATATTTTGCCTTCTGGAAGACTTAATTCCAAACTCTCCACTCCTTAGAGGTGGTGGCAGCTAAATCTTGAGTGATCCTGATGGTGGCCTCTTCAGTACTTGATTTTTTTCTTCCAGTTCGCTTGCAGTAATTTTCCTTTTATCTGGAAGCTCTGGATTTTAATTATAATATTTATTGGAGTTTTTACTTTGGTGTGTTTTTCAGGATTCTATTTCCACTTTTCTCTCTGGTTCTAAGAGATATGAGGAATTTTCTTTTATGACTTCTTGAAATATGATACTTAGGCCCTTTCTTTTTTATCATGACTTTTAGGTAATCCAATGAGTCTTTTTTTTTTTAAGGCAATTGGGGTTAAGTGACTTGCCCAGGGTCACATAGCTAGTAAGTGTCAAGTGTTTGGTCTGAGGCCGGATTTGAACTCAGGTACTCCTGACTTCAGGGATGGTGCTCTATTCACTGCACCACCTAGCTGCCCCTAATCCAATGATTCTTAAATTGTCTCTTCTCAATCATTTTCCAGGTCAGTTGTCTTTGCTATGAGATATTTTATGCTTTCTTCTATCTTTTAACTTCTTTTAATATTTCTTACTGTCTCATAGAGACATTAGCTTCTATTTAGTTCATTCTAATTTTCAGGGAAGTGTGGTTTTGCTTCTCATGTGCCAAATTGTTCATTCTCTTTTGAATTCTTCTATAGATCTAGTGCTCAGCATTGGACCTCTTTCAGTTTCTATGGCCAAAATGCTCCTCTTGGTGCACTCCTGACTAGACTCTATATCCTATCCCCTAGATCCACCAACCTCGTTTGTCTCTCCATGCTGTCCTGGGCTGCAAAAACAATTCACTGTGAATTTTTTTCTTAGATTTTCCAATTGGGAAAATTCTACCAGAGTAGAATAAGTCGGCTGTATTTCTTCCTACTGCTCTACCATCTTGGATCCAAACCCCACTCACCATAATTCTTAAACTGAATTGTAGTGCACATGAAATCACTCCATCTGTTGATATGCAGTTTCACTGTACTTTTCAGGTTTCCATATTTGCTTTATTTTTCTGGTAGAGTACTTATTTTTTCTGAATATTTTTTGTTGAAACATTGCTGCAATGAAACTATTTTCAGGTGTTCACTATGAAAGAGAATTTGGAAGATGGGCCCTAATTTTTATCCTTCCTATACCGTTATGATTGCTAAAGGAATTCTTTATGTCAGAGTCACATCACTGTATGGCATGTGCTTGCATTCTAGAAAGTATCCAATGTCTTATTACTTACAGGATGCACATAAAAAGATAAACATATGCAGTCACAATAATACTCTGTTTACTTTACAAAAGTAATAGAATAAGCCTGAATCCAATTAAATGCTTTTAACTTTTAATCATAATCTTAGAAACACTTACAACCTGAGACCTTATAATATCTCCCTATTGCCTACCCTGTTAAGTTTAAACTTCTTAACCTGACATTTATAGTCTTCCACAATGTTATGCTATCCTATCTTTTCCAATTTATATCAAAGTATTTCCATTTATATTCCCCCTAACTTTAACCAAAATGGACTACTGATAGCTCTCGCTTTACATAAGTGGACAAGGTAAAGTGATTTTACATAATATGAATTTGCCTAGAGTTGCAGGAAAGACAGGGAGGCAAAAAAGGGGGCCGAATACCCATAGAAGAAGGGGCCCAAGGACACATGCGGGCTGGGGACAAAGAAGGAGAACACATGGTAGGGCTGGGGGCACAGTGCAGCACCCAGCCTTATGTTGAGGCTGAACACAGATCCAGACTGGAGAGGATGGACATCACACAGTGGCTGGGAAAGACACATGACCCAAGCATGGATGGAGAGAAGACAGACATGTGCAACCAGACACAGGGTAGGTGGGTGAGTGAAGCAAAGGTCTCTTCTCTTAGCACTGGAGGTCTGAAACCAAGCACTCAAACTGACAGTGGTGGTGGTCTACCTGCCTCTCTCTTGCTTCCACTTGGAGGTTTTTGTGTTTTTTGTGGGTTTTTTTTGGGGGGTGGGTAGGTTGGGAGGCCACAGAAAGCCAGTTCAAGGAACAAGAACAGAAAAAGAGAGCACAATACTATATAGTAAACATAGGTGTTTTTTCAGAACGTGGATTTCTTTCAAAATTCTTTAAGTTGAATTTGCATAATGCACATTTATGTAAAGTGAGAGCTTCTATACCTGCTATACTCCATAAAAGTTCCTCACTATTCTCTGATGCTTATGATTTTTCATGATTTCTGCCTACTGAATATTCATCATGCCTACCTCAAATACCACCATCATGAAGCCTTCTTTTTCTTTCTCAGTCAATAATTACCTTTTCTCCTTATACTTAACACAACACTTTATTGGTACTTCTCTAGTACACTTATAGAGAGGCTTGCAAGAGTGTACAGAAAGTAGGCCTTAGTAGCCAAGAAGAACTAAGTTCAAGTCCTGCTTCTAACACAAAAAGAATGTATAATTCTGGTTAAATCACTTAAGCTGTCAATAACCAAGCAACTTTCTTAGACTGTAAGTTGCAAAGCAGATGATGATTTGCAATAGTAAAGTGAATTCCTTACATCAACAAAATCACAAATCCAGGCCAAAAAAAATGCACTTATGAATTGCTTTGTGTTATAGCTTTATGTGTATGTGTTCAATGATCCCAATTAGTAAGCTCTTTTAAGGAAGGGCCTGTGTCACCTCAATTTAATATTTCTTTCAGTATTTAATATATTGCTCTGCACTAAAAGACATTTAATAAATGTCTATTGAATTGAATTAGGGATGGTAGGCTATATTTTACATTTTAAGTTTTATCAAAGCAAAGCCATGAAGAGTTGGCAAAATCATTTTTTTCAAAGCCTGCTTTTCTCTAACTAAAACACAATTTGAATTGTACTTACCCCATCCTGGTGGCAGAGGTCCAAGAGGATCAAATTCTTTATTCTGAGATGAAGTAAACAAATCTTGATTCTACACAAAAATGAAAGGATATATTAATAACTCAATACTAAACATGTATCTTTTTAGAAATTTTAAGAACAATACTCATTAAAAAATATGTTCCCAGATCTGCTGAAGCCTATGACACCCACTTTATATTGTAAAGAATAAAAAAAAAGAATATCCTACTAATGTGACAAAGCATTATACATATATTAAGCTTAACAATAATAAATTTTCTTATCCTCATTCCTGCCTATGTTTCTTAAATATTTAACACTCAATTATAAAATTAATATTACAACTTGAAAGTAGAAAAAAGGTTGATAAAAAAGAACAACTGAAGGGAAGAAAAGAATTATTAGCTAAACAAAATTCTATTTTCTACAAGTATCAGAAAAGGACTTCAGAAAGAACATGGCTGAAGTTATGGGATAGGAGGGAGATAGCTTACTGAATGAGTAAATAAGTGAATGATTCTAGAATATTAGTGGAAAAAGCAAAGATTTCAGAAAGTCAAGATATTTTAGAAAAAATTTATTCTAATCAGTTAGTTAAAAAAAGAAGGCAATTAGACAATTAGCATGAGTATACACTGGAACAGTGATCATGGTAGTCATTCAACCAGTGCAAGAAATGAGATACAAAGAAAGTTATCATGGTGAGTCTGCCTACCATAGAAAGACAGGCAAGCAATAAAATATAATGGCACTACTATGTTCAAAAGAACGGTCACCGAAAAAAGAAGGTAATATGAGAGTAGAAGCACAGGAGGAGTTAAGATCTCTCAACTTCTCTTCTTAGAATCCCTTATTTCCTTCAAGACTCTCAGCTCAAGCACTTTTATCTACACGAAGGCTTTCCTGATCCCCACCCAACAGCTAGAGCCCTAGGTCTCTGATTACTTTGTATTTTGTGGTTTTTTTCTATATATAATTCCATATGTACATGTATTTCCTCCAATACAATGTCAGTATCTTATAAGCAGGGAATCTTTCATCCTGAGAGTCTAGCATATTGCCTGGCACATGGTGGGTATACAATATATGCTTACTGAGCAGGTACTACGAAATAGAAAGAAAACCTGTCTCAGGTTTTGATGGACTGTTTCCTTCTGGCTTAGATACAGGGGTTTAAAGATCTGTGAGCCACTGGAACTTACATTCTGCTAGCTAAGTTTTTACTCTCTTGGCACCAACAGTCTCTAAAGATAACACAGTGAACATTTACATATTTTGGTACACTTACTAGTTATGTCAACTCACTGCCATGGGACTAAAATTAAATATCAGCCCTTTGTTTTCAAAAAGCAAAGACTCTTTACCAAAGAAGGGAAATATATTTCTGAAACTGACATGTAATCTTTTTTATCCAGATCTGTGATTTTATCAGTATAAGGGAATCCCTGCGAGGAACCCCTCCCAATGGCAACTATTCTTATGGCCTTAGAAAGTTGTCTTGGGGTACACTAAGATGCTAAGTGACCATGGTGACACAGCCAGAATATACTGCAGATGAGACTTGCAACCTAGATCTCCCTGACTATAAGGCTATGAAGGCTGGCTCTCTCTCTCTCTCCTATACCATGCTAGTTCTTAGGGTACTGTTCTTTAACATCATTCCTAGACAGCTTCCCAGATTCATTCAACCAACTGGAGCTCCAAATAGCTTACCCTTTGCAAAAAATAATTTTTATCAAGAGATCCATGATAGTAATTTAGTGGTAGATATTTTGGGCTAAAGTTTTCCCTTACTCAAATTAAAACAAAACAAGGCTGCTCTAGATTAAGAATTGCTTAATTATTTTCCCCCAGTTTGGTTGTATTGATTCTGGGCTGTTGTAGTTTTTTTTTTAAATAACAAATTTGTCCTAACATTTTGGGCCAATTTCTTTTCAATTAAAAAAATTTTTTTAATCTTGTTTTTATATGATCTTCACTTCCAAAAATATTGTTCCTCCTTTTCCTCCCCAAAGAGCCATCCGTTATAACAAAGAATAAAAAATTAAAGGGAGGATGGAAGGGAAGCAAATCAGCAAAATGAATCAATAACACCACCTGAGTCTACCACTGTTCCAAATCCATTAGTCTATTTTCTATATAACCAATGAAGAGAAGACTAGACATAGGAAGTGACATAGAGAGGAAAAAATATATCACTTATATTTATATCTGGGATATGCCAAACAAAAGTCTAAAATATATGCCCACCAATTAAAAACGCTGACTATGACCTTGCCTGTGAACTGTCACTATTTTTATGTGCTTTTCTCTCAGAACTTTCTGCAATCACTTTGACACATGCAGGAGGAAAAGGGGCCATAAGAGATACTTTATTAGTCTGTAGCACAAAGACTATTGCTCACCCCATAAATGAATCTCTGGTTAAACTGCTGCATTGCTCCTTGGAGTTGACTTCGTTGTAGCTGCCACTGCTCATAGTTTCTAACTGACTCCAAAGTTGGCCGCTGCCAGGTGGTAGTTCTTGTGAAGTGGTCAACATAATAAACACGTCCCATGTTGTCAACTCGACGTTCCCAGCTAATGAGCAAAACTCTCAAAATTAATGTCAGTGTCATGGAGCTGCTAGGGTAAACATGTACCTGAATATCACGTGGGCCACAGAACTGGAATCCCTAAACTTTTTCTTGAGGAAGTGCTAATTATGATGTATACAGAACCATTACCATTGAAAATGTTACTTCTCTTAAACTATTAAAGAAAATGTTTGGCATGCAGGCCTTACTACTTAAGAGTCCACAGAGACCCACTTTAAACATGCTTACAAATGCATTTATATCTCGTTCAGTCAAGAAAATACTGATTTTTAAAAAATACAAATGCCTGAAATATAGACATTATGTGATCACTAATAATAAATCCAAGATAGCAAAGTAGAACAAGGTAAGGTTTTGAGTTCAGTAAGCGGTTGACACAAATGAAATATGTCATTATAGAAGCACAAGATCTAAGCAACCTCTTAGTCACAGATCAGACAAATGAAAACCACTCATCAAATTCCTGCCTCCCTCTTGTAATGTTCCAAACTTTGTAGAGATAGATAGAAGTGACCAGAAACCAGAACAAACAGGAATGTAGGTAGACCTGAAAAGATTTAAATTCCTGTCTCTGAACAATTCTGCAAAGTTTTCCATTATTTCAGACTCACCCAGGAGGAAGAGGTTCTGGTCTATCCCACGATGTTCTTTTTTCAACATGATCTACATAGTAGACTCGTCCATGCTGGTCCACTCTCTGCTCCCAACTTGAACACACATAAATAAAATGGCTAGTGTGGTTTCATACTGGAAAAATATTCTAAATACTATACTGTTCGAACTATTTCATTAAAAAAGCAGCACTTTTTTTTAAATTTTGGAAATTCTAGATAATGAACAATCCAAAAATTTTTTTTAAAAAGGAATATACATTTCTAACAAAAATATAATCAACAATTTGAGCTATCCTAAGCAATCCTCTTTTTGCAAAAGCTATTAAATGTTTCACCTTCTCAACTAGCCATTAGTATGTGAACTGCCAAGTCTAGTTCAATCTCATCATCTTTCTGAGTACACATCTAAGCACGGAAAGGCTCATGACCACTAACTATCCTGCCTACTTGGTGATGAATATCTTTAATCATCACAACCCATGAAGAAAAAGAAAAGAAAAAAAATACAAAATGATTCTTAAGTCTTGTGTAGCCCCTTTCTGTACCTACAGTGACTAGTATAATGTCAGAAAAGAGGGCAAACAATGTAAAGAATCATATCATTCTTAGTTCATCTTTAAACATCAACTTAGCTGTTGGTACTATAACTATGAGATCCTTGCCCAATAACCAACCAGTGAGCAAATAACTAGAGAAATCAAATCTTATAAATCCTGATATTTTTTCTATAAATGAAACCAGGATGAAGTTGCAGCTAAATGGGATGATGGTGTACTAAAAGATTATTCTTAGAAAAGGAAAAAAGAGATCTAGGAAGTTAGTTTTATTATGTGTTAAAAGGTAACAAGAAAGAAAATTTCAAAACTCTTTTGCCAAACTCATATTGCAGTATTCATGGTAATTACGTATTTGAAAAAAGACCATCATGAAAATAATTAATTTATCCATAGCGGCTCTAGAGAATGAGGAAGTAAGAGAATTTCTATGGAGAACTAGATAAGATCATCCAAGTTCAAGTAACATGTACTTTGAGATTCAGTGACTGTAATGTAAAGGTAGATATATGGCAAGATGGTAAAAAATGTGAGAAAATAGTTCTGGAACAAGAAATGAGAAAGCCCAAAGACTTGTAGACCATACAGAAGCATCATATTGATAATAAGGAATTAATATTTTCTTTTAAAAATTTGAGATAAAATTTTTTAAAAAGAAAAGAAAGGCAAAGTGGACAGTGTGAATCCCAAATAACCTTACAAAAATTAAAGTAATTTCATTTTAGCAGACAGGAAATGACTCATTATTGGCATGAGAGTCATGGTCTAATTACCTTTCCTCTTATATCAATTTGCTAAAGCAAAAATCAAAGTTAACACAAAAAACTGAATGAAAATGGAAAAAAAATTAGGCATGTTTAAAAAAGTCTAACCTGACCTAGTCAAACAATTTGCTGATATCAAAACAAGGAAATGGGTGAACAGACATCATCATAGTTTATGACTCTTTCCTAAAGAAGCCTAACTGATACATGTCAACTGCTATAACAAAGAGACAAAAAGATTCTACAGATTGTCTTGGCCACCAGACCTTCTTGCCAAATAAAGAAATAATACAGCGAAGAGCAACATCAGTTTGAAAAATAAACTCACCAAAAAAATCTTATGGAGGATGGCTGAAAATTATGAGCGACATCATTTGGTAAAATACTGAGAAATAATGGAGAGAAAAACAAATTTGAAGAAAGTGTGGCAAGAGATCTAACTGAGCCAGTCAATCTAAGGGTATTTAAAGATACATTTCAAAGACAACAAACAGATGGAAAGTGGAAAAGACCTATAAATGTTTATTTAAGAAAATCTTTTCATCATTCAGAAGATTGAAGCCACTACATTTGGCCTAACATCACAGTCCTGGATGTACTTAAGGAGTGAAAATGGCACTAAAGAAAACAAAGAAAAGCAACTGGAATACATTAATTATGGAAAGAAAAAGTCCATGATGGGACATCTTTATTACCACATTAAAAATGGGAGGAAGAAGGATGGAGAAAGGAGGAAAGAAGGAACAGAGAGAGAGCTAGGATGGAAGGAAATAAAGTAGGATGGAAGGAAATAAGGAAGGTAGAAGGAAGGAAATAAAAGAGGAAAGGAGGGAGGGAAAAAAGAAAAAAGAAAGAAAAAAAGAAAAGGCAACCTAGAAAATGTCTGGAACTACTCAAACAACTTTCCTCCTTTCCAATCTCTAAAAATGTTTACAAAAAATAATGTTAACAGATAAGGACAACATAATTGATAAACATATGAAAAGGAATGGGCACACTTCCACAAATGTCATGCAACAGTAGACTGCCTTTACAATCCCACACCCTAAAAGGTGTGGAGAATACAAAATTCCCTGTGCTGTTTGATTATTAATTTTTTTTTAACAAAATGATAATCCCAACAGGTAACATAACTCCCATTTTTATGAAAATAATAGAACTCTAAAGATGCGATAACATTTTAAAAATCCATTTTATTTTCAAAATCTCTTATTGAAATTTAGCATTTCTAACATGAATTTTTTTTTTAAATCCCAAGAAGGAATCCACATATAAGCTTCACTAGACTACCAAAGGAGCCAATGAGATTAAAAAATTAAGAATTCTTGCTACAAATAGTGAGGTCCTCCAGCTGCTCCTGTTTCTGTTTAAACATTTTGCTGATCATATCAAGTTACGATGTGCAAAGCTTCCTACAAGAGATCGTAATCCTCTAAAAATTCAAGTCTAACTATACAGATAGGTTTTAAACCAAGTGAAAGAATATTTACTGTTTAGACAAAATGGTCAGTTGTATGGAACATATATTAGAATTGGTTCATTATGGTGCAGAAATGACAAACGGTTATTCAGCTGAGCCTAGAAATGAGGAGGATGAGAATGAGCTGGATTACCTTCAGCAAACTGTACAGTTCTTTTAATTATCCCATGCTTTCCCCTGAAATAAAAGTCCATCTTTTTTAACAGCAATATTTTTCTGCTTATGTTATATGGTTTAAAATCATGGAACACTAAAATCCCTGAAGAACTAAAAATGAAGATCGCATAAAGAAAAATGGAAAGTGTATATGGTGTGTGAACAGGTATGCAATTATGCACGCGTGGTATAAAGGTATAAAGTATATAAAGGTATAAGTAACATCAGAGAAAGATACGAAGAGAAAAAAAAAAGATAAGTTAGAATGAGGGATAATGCAGTGGACAACCTGTGTGCTTCACTGACATCCACCAATGTCAAGAGTAAAGATAATGTGTAAAGGCTTCAAGCACTTATATCTGGGGGCATAGAAATGAGCTGGACAGGACAGGCAGGCATGAATGGGATAAAATCTGTATCACTGTACAGAAAACCTACATTGACGGATCTCATGAAGCCTGAGATAAAATTCAAATGGCATTAACCATAAATACCAGACAGATTTTTAGCTTCCGCATCTATTTTTATCTACAACGACCAGGGTTTTGCCTGGTCCTGGTGCTGTCAGGAAGAACATTTCAATGACTCTTGTTATTCTGTCACATGGGACCTTATGAGATGACTAAAGGAGAAATGAAGATATAATGCACATAAACATTTTGACAACCATCAGCTGATGCCCAGTTCAAATGCCATTTTCTCCATAATCACCCCAATCAAAAAAGCTCTCTGCCTTCTGAAAATTTCTATGACACTCCGCTTTTTAATTTATACATTCTAAACTTAACATCAAATAAAATAGGCATTTCCATATACAGAGCAGAAAAGAAGTACACAAGACCCTAAATCTATATTACACAGCTATAACACTTGGCATAATTTTAGTACTTATTATGTACCATCACAGTGTTATTTTACTTTCTTTTCTCATTTTCCTTAATGGATTGTCCATTTGTTGAGGTTAAGAACCTTAGCTTTTCATTCTCTTTATCTTCCACATTACTGTGCACATAATGGGTAATCAGTTCAATTCAGCTGAGATTTCAGTAAGCCATATTTGGTCACCACACAACACCCAACAGTACTATGCAGAGAGAAAAGGTGAGTTCTAGTTCATTTTTTTCTGTCTCTTCAACCTGCCCCCAAATATGAAGCCCTAAATATAAGCAGGTCAAGGTGTCTACTTCACAATTAGCCCTCCTGGGATCACTTCAAGTCCAGATTCTCTAACTCTTGAAACAGAATTACTCTTGACATAGTAGAAAAAATCCAACAAAAATAAATTTTGGGGGGTCTTTGGGGGGGGTGGCTGAGGCAATGGCGGTTAAGTGACCTGCCCAGGGTCACACAGCTAGTAGGTGTCATGTGTCTGAGGTCACATTTGAACTCAGGTCCTCCTGAGTCCAGGGCTGATGCTCTATCCACTGCGCCACCTAGCTGCCCATTTTTTTTTGTTTAGGTTTTTTTTTAAAAAAAGGCAATTGGGGTTAAGTAACTTGCCCAGAGTCACACACCTAATAAGTGCCTGAGGTCAGATTTGAACTCAAGTCCTCCTGACTTCAGAGCCGGTGCTCTATCCACTGCACCAGCTAGCTGCCCCAACAAAAATAATTTTTAAAAAATGTTAAACCTTTAGTTTATAAAGACACACATGACACATGGAAGGAAAATGTTAGAATTACAGTCAAGAGATGTGGGTTTGAAGACTGCCTCAGTAATGGGACCAGAGGCAAGTTACTTAACTCCTCAGGACTTGAGTCTCCCTTTACTTAAAAAGGATATAACTAACATGGAAATATGTTTTCCATGACTGCACATATATAACCTATATCAAAATGCTTACCATTTTAGAGAGGACAGAGGAGAGGGAGAAAATTTGGAACTGAAAATTTTATTTTAAAAAAGAATGTCAGGCGGCACAATGGATAGAGCTCCAGCCTTGCAGTTAGGAGGACCTGAGTTCAAATCTGGCCTCAGACACTTGACACTTACTAGATGTGTGACCCTGGGCAAGTCACTAACTCCAATTGCCTCACCAAAATGCAAAAAAGCAAAAACAAAAAAGAGAATGTTAAAGATTGTCTTTACACGTAATTAGAAAAAATAAAATATCATTTAAAAGAAAAACAAACAACAAAG